ATGTAATGTACTGTAATGTAATGTAGCGCAACATCATGTTGTGTCGTTTTTTTCTTGACGGGTGTGTGGGTGTGCTGTTTCGTGTTGTTTGATGCTGTGCTGCCTGTGCTGTTGTCGCGTTGTGTCGTGTAGTGTCGTGTTGTGTTTGTATTGTTATCCTATGTTGTGCCATGCAACACCATGCCAGTGCATGTCACGCAAGGCGATGTTATGTTATGTTGTGTCATGTTACGAATGTTCCACTTATTATGGTATGTTTGGTGTGCAACATACGGGTGCATGTGTTGCAAAGAATGCGTGTCATTGCATGCGTGTGCAAACATAGGTGCGTATCTTCGGAACTCGGGAAGTTGGGATCTTAGGACACATCGTCAGCGTTGTAAGGTATTATAAGCATACTGCGCAGCATCCAGAGTCCCTTTCATTGTGATACTGAGTAGGAGCTTCTGGGACTGCAGACGCTGGTCAGCCACACGAAGGAGTACATCGATTTCGTAGCTGGCGTTCTGGTGCTCTTGAATTCCTGCGTTATGTTGGTTGCTTTGGCATTGTCAGAGTCAGGGTGGGGCAGGCTCAATTCAATCTCGACTCAAGCACACGTGGCTCGAGTTTTTCCGGTGCTCTGGTGCAATCCGGTCAACAAGATGCTGAGGCTGAGCTGGAAGCCGAAGGACTCGCCTACGGAGCACAGCTTGGCTTTGGCAGAGGCTACAGTAGGGGTCCTTTTCGGGGCATGTGGGATGCACACGGACCTCCGAAGATCCAAGCCCCCTCCTTCAAACTGAAATTACTACAAGCTTGGGGGCTGTTGAGTCGATCAGGCTAGAGTCGGCTAGAGGCTGTAAGCCGCTTTCTTTTGTGGGCCCGGAGCTTTGAAGTCGTGTCTTGTGCTGGCCATGGTCGGAGTTGCGCTTATCCAGGCCCCTCCCTGGAGGAGGTGCAGCCCATATTCCAGTCTCTAGATGCTCGGACGTGATTTGCAAAACTTGTCGGTAGATTTGGTGAAGGTAAGTTTTTGTGAATCTGAGTGCTTTGGTTGATGCTGCCAGGACACGGCCTTTGTTTTCATCTTCCTGGTAGAGCTGCTGTTCCGTGTGGCTATTGAGCGATGGGATTTCTTGCGAGATCCGGCGAACTGGTTCGACGCTGCTTTGGTCCTCCTGGGCATGGCAGACTTATTTATTTTTGTGCAGATGGCAGGACTGACTTCATTCATTGCCTTGGCGACTTGTGGATGGCCAATGTCTTTGCACGTTTTGCAGTTCAGATAATTCAGTCAAATCCTGAGGCTTGCGAGTTGGTTAGGAGTCTACGTGTTGAATCATGCAGAGGGCAGCGTGCAACATCTTTGCAGGAGGCTCTGAGGCGCAGAACATCATCTTGCTTCGTTTGGTCCGAGTCCTTAAGTCGGTCCGGGCCATCCGGATGCTGCGGACCTTCCGCTTCCTCAAAGGCTTGCGATTCTTGGTGAAGGCATGCTATTGCTTCCTGCCGTCTCTAGCCTGGTCGATGGTTCTGCTCTTCGTCTTCATGTGCATGGGCACGCTCGTGCTCGGCAACTTGCTTTCGGATTTCATCGCCGATGAGACAGCCAACATGAACGACCGTTTGTGGGTTTGGGATCGGTATGGGACTGCTACTCGGGCCATGTACACGTTCTACGAGATACTTGGCTAAGAGTACATTCAACCCGTCGCAAATTGATGCAGCACGCACCGTGCTTGAAAGCAGCAGAAGGGCAGCTGACTGAACTGTTTGGGATCCGGTTGAAGTGGGTCGAAGAGGCTTGTCAAGTTGTTGGCATTGCCTCAGTCTTCTTGCAGGACTTCCGATAGAACTCCGTTGGGCGAGCCATTTCTGCCTAGCTTGTGTGGAATCATCGACACCAGCACTTGAAGCAACCTGCACCTCTTTCTGTGTGCACGTGTTTTGTAGAACACTCCATTGGGCAACCACCACCACCACCACCACCATGGCTACGGCTACGGCTACGGCCGTGAGAGCGACTGCGACCTCAACTACGACTACGAATGCCACAATGCTACAACCAGTGCTACTACGGCTACTGTTGCTGCTGCTACGCTACTAAATGCTGCTACTGCTACTACCGCTACTA